GGAGGATAGCCTTCGTGGTCGCGGCCGTGGGGTGGGGGAGGGGGGTCATAGGCGTCCCGTTCGCGTTCGCGTTGACGGGAACGGTGACGGGGACTGGGGGAGTATGGTGGTGGGTTGTCGTGGCGGTTATCGTAGCGGTCGTCGTAGCGGTCGTCGCGATGACGACGGGGTGGACCGGCGTCGTAGTCGTCGTAGTCGTGTCGAGCCATCTTGGAGATTGATTGATGCTTTGGAATTGAGGTTAAGAGGTGAAGTTGGAGGAAGGATTGTTTTTTACAGGACTCAGGTTCAACTGAATTTGCAGGTCATGCAGGCAAAGTGGAGGGGAGTGTGGCTGTGGCACATGCAACGGTCACAGTGCAGATCTGGTGCGTCATCAGGTGAGCTGGCGGGATATCTGATGGCGTCTCTGAAGTCTTAGGGAGATTTCGGGTTGGAGATTTGGAGGGGCAGGTGGGTTCCGGAAGAGCTGTCCCGCTGTTGGGATTAATTATGGGATTAATAAATGGTACATCATAATTCATAAGGGGCATGAATTGCCTTGTCACCTGCATGAGGCATCGCTTTAGTCGTGATAGAAGCCGAGCGGAGGTTCAAAGATCTATAAATAATATTATTTAAAGCTTTGGTTTAGACATTTAAGGGGCAGGAACAAATACACGCGCCAAAGCAGGAACCGCAGCTTCAAGGAGAGATATTCTGGGATTGCCCTGAAGTTGACCATACCATGGGAAGTCTTTTCGCTTGAGTTATGGTATAGATACGGATCCATCGTGATCATACTTCCGTAATGTCCGCGCCGGGGCCTATCTCTCCCTTTCCTCGTCACCGGAGTAGCCCAGAAATTATGTGGTACACTTCTTTTCCAGTCTACAGAGCTTAGAGATCAAGCTGTACGTCGACGTGGAGAGGGAGGACTATGATGATGTCTGGAACCAACGCCTAGTACACAGCGCTCCTTGGGACTGTGAGCGATCGAAGAGGTGTTGGGACTTTGGAGGACTCCAGAGGATTGAAAACGTGGATAAGCTTATCCAGAACAGGATTCGCAACAAGATTTTGTACTGGGATAGTTGCATGTTCATAGTGCGAGAACAGAGACACCAATGGTCCTGATCACTGAACGGACCATTGGTATAACTTCAAAATATGATCCGTACGGTACCAAGTAATCTGAACTGTAAATCCTCGGACCTGAATGAAAACGAGAAATCTGAACAACGGGGTATCCTCAACATTAAGCTCCAATCCAGTGGAAGATCAAATGTCGACATCGTGAATCCCATCAAACCCATACGCACATCCGCGTATACATTCACTCTCCACAACACCACCATAATATCAAACTTCACTCACGGGCTATAGGCCCCCGTCTCCTCTCCATCCCTCCCTTTCCTCCCCTTCCGATTCACCCTCTGCCCCTCCACCACCTCCGCATAACTCGTCCCCGCCTCCCCCTCACTCTCCACCCCCTCCTCATTCACCAGCAACGGCTCCTCCTCATCCGTCACGGGGGTCCGCTTCGTCCAGGGGATGCCCACGTTCGGGATGGACATCTGCGGCACGGAGATGCGGGGGAAGTGGACAGTGGGGCGCGCCGGGCGGAGCTGGTGGTGGCAGTTAGGACATTCGGATGGGGTGAAGTGGCCGGCGAGGTATTTGAGTACCTGGTCGATGCCCAAGCCGAAGTAGAAGGTGTGGACGGCGAAGTAGAAGTGGATGAAGCTGTGGGGTGGGATCGAGGGTCAGCTTACATGGCATTCTGGGATGCGATGCGAATTGGCTGGAAACAAGGAACCCGTTTCGAAGAATGCGCGGCAAATGAGCGACGGATCAATGAAATCGCAACCAGTCTCACAAATTCACCAGCAACGGAAACGTCGCATACGCCGCCAACATTGTCTGACTCCTCGTCACCCAAGTGAGATCCACCCACGTATACACCAGCACTATCATCAGCCCCGTCGCAAGGACTGAGTCCACCACATAGAGGATCGCCGGATGCACCGGCGTCGCGTCCTCGCGCTGCTTCTTCCACTGGATTAGGAAGATCGCGAATACGGCGGATCCGGCGAGCGGGACGAGCCCCACGGCGGGGACGGCGCGCCCCGAGTTGATGCCATGGGCGAGGCAGAGAGGGAAGGCGGGGATGAAGGTTAGCGCCGTGAGGAGGCGGAGCGAGTGGTCGTTCATGGTCTCGTCGGGGGATATTACTGCAGTATTATCAGGTTGCGAGAGAGGGAGGGGAGGAGGCGCTGTTAATTCGGATATCGATTGTAAACGAACCCGCTGGTCAGGAGAATGTGTAGTGAGGTTGCACCCCAATTGATGCGGGGAACACTGGTGCCTGGAGGGATTCATCGGCGCTTTTGGCTACGATTTGGGAGAACGCCATGCTGCGGGGTGATCAGTGATGCCCTGGATTGCGGATAGGATAGAGAGATACTGTACTCTAGAGATAGCATGGCGGCGCGAATCAACTAGCGCGCAATCGTTGGATTGGATTCTAATCCCTACGTCGGCGGTAATGACCTTGTCTGCTGTTATGTGTCGATCCCTGATGTTGGAGCTTCATCATCAATGGAAGGATTGGAAGGACCGTGTATTGTGTATTGTGAATTCAAGAAGACTAGATGACGTTGAAAATAACTAGACTCTCTCGTCAGGGTCTTCTCGTGAACAGAAGTTCGTCGTACAAATTACAATTGATATGCCCCTGAGGTCTTCCATTTTCCCCCTCCAACCTGAAACCACCACGTCCGTACCACCAAACCAAATCAGAGAATATGCAGATTGAGGCAACGGATCACTCTACCCGGTAAATATCATTCCACTCAAATAACAGCAAGATTCGAGAATATGAACCTCCAATGTCGCCTAGGGGATCTATATCACTTGAGACTATTCGTTCTCCTTACTCCCCGTGCTCCCTTTTCTCCTAATCCTCCTCAACAGTCATGAATTCCTCCTCGTCCACCGCATATTCTTCGGGCACTACGGGATTCAAGAAGTCCTTGTAGGGAGTAGCACCCTCATATAGGACCTCCTCGTTCACTGACGATTCCGATTCCGATTCCGAGTCCGAGTCTGACCTAGCACTCTGCGGTTCCTTATTACGAACCCAACGAAGCGCCCTATCGGGGTTATGGTCAAAGTTCGGGTCGCAGGCCAGGCTGCGGAATCTCCTACAGGGTTGCCGTTGCTGAGCCTCCTGTTTCTGGCCCTTCTCTTCTTCCGTTTTCCGCTCTACGTTCACTAGGTATTTTATCGTGAGTTCCTTGTGATGCATGGCCTCCCAATCCGGGCTAGATGCTCGTAGCTGCCGCTTAAACCGCCGCTGGCAGGTTCCACCTAGGGGATCGCTGTTTTGGGATTTCGCGGTCCCGCTCTGAACCCCGAGCGTGGCCCAACTCTCCCGCCCGCTGTTCCGACTGGCTTCACGGCGGGCCCTCCGCAGGTTCCGGTCGTACTCCCGATCTTCTTGGACTTGGGCCCGGCGGACCGCTGCCACTTGTTCTTCGCTTTGGGTCAGCGTCTCCATGCTGTTGATGGTGTCGCGCCAGACACGGATGTATCGGGCCGAGGTCTCGGGAGCGCGCAGGCGATCTCGTCGGTTGTTCTGGGCGACTTGCGCATCATCTACTTGGCCCTCTGCTAGAACTTCGCCGCCGTCGTGGGCGAGGTAGGAGGGTTGGTCGGGGGCTTCTAGAATCACACGGATTGCGTCGGCGGCGCGTTCGAGTTCGAATCCGATGCGCTGGAAATGGTTAGCGATCACCAATGTCAATGGCGAATTAGCTAGGCATACTCTCTGCATGTTTAGCATTCCGGCATTGTTACCCGTGTACACTGGCAGCATCCAACTCTCGACTTGGAGTCCCCCCTGGGCAGCTTCTGGCTGGGTGTTTTCGCGCCGTGCTGAGGGTGTATCATTGACCAGGGCAGTTAGCCGTTCAGCCTCCCTATCTGCTAGATTTTGCCTCATATTCCGAGCCTCCTGATCTAATACATCGGCATCGGCATTACCCGCATTGTTACCACGCAACATCCTTGCCTGCTCCTCCCGTAACCTAGCAGTTTCAAGTGTTCTGGCACGATTGAGTCCGGGGAGATTCCGGCCCCAATCTCTATTGCGACGCACGGTTTCCAACCTATCTATGATTCGATCGGTCCCCCTAGTATCCTCGGGATTGTTACTCTTAGGACTGTTTGACCTTCGGCGTTGCGAGGCTCGTTCCCCTTCAGCCTCATCATCGGCTGGGCGTTTGCATGGGCATACACCGACGCCTGCTGGCCCCCGTTCGCCTCGAGCTCCTTGCGCTCCCGGCTCCCCTTGTGGCCCCTGTTCGCCTCGAGGTCCTGGAGGCCCTTGATCCCCTTGATCCCCATGCTCTCCTTGTGGCCCTTGGGCACCCATAGATCCGGTCGCCCGTTGCGCTGCCTCTAGGGCTCCTTGTGACGAAGTTCGCGCCGCGGTGGCGTGTTTTTGCGCATCCTGTTCCGCCGTTCGGACACCATCTTCCACCATTCGGGCACCTCGCGCCGCTGTGGTCTGCTGTTGCGCCCCCTGTTCCACGGCTTGGGCTTCTCTTAGCGTTTGAGCTGCTGTCTTTCTGGGAGGCTTAGGGGGAGACTTAGTGAGCGTTTTACCAGTCTTGGTGGGCGTTTTGCCAGTCCCGGTGGTCTTTTTAGGACCCATTTTGGTACAAGTAAATCAATTTTGTGCCAGTAGCAGCGGCCGATAGGTCAAGGGTCAAACTTGCGGTCGTCGTTGAGCCAACCGTGGGGTACTTGGCCTTCTGGAGAGGTTCAATGCTATGATTGCGAGAAAGATAGGTAGCGAAGAAGAAAAGAGATCGATCATACTGGAACCAATGGACTGGACCGATAGTTAGGAGAAGACGATCTCTTTGAAGGAAAAGGAAGCTTTGTTCTCGACTTGGACGAAAACGGAAGACTTGAGGGTAAGACAATGCATGTCATATGTAGAGGAAAGACAACGCTATTGAGAATTCGGAGTAACCTTCCCCCCTGCGTGATGGAACACCCGCTGTGCTGGAACGAATTCGAGGTACTTTGACTTCAAACCCACCCAGAGGCTCTATACACACTTTAATTCTCATAAATTCTCATAAAAATTGGTTTTCCAGCCATCTTAAACATCTGAGACTGTGTGAACCCTATAGATTACATAGCGTGGTCGCCGGTCGGCGGGTTTCAGGGCAGCACTTAGAATGTATCTTCGACGCTGAGATACTACGTCTATGCTCCAACGTCACCATCATCGTAGTTTCCTTTCAAAAAGTCATTAACGAATGACCCTAAATCATATAATCCCGCTGTAATGCTAGAAGTCCTTCATCCGGAGCATGCGTGGTGTTGGAAGCGGTCTTAGATATTTCGACTGCACAGGTCGGTACTGATAGCCGATTACACCGCCTCTTTCGGCGATCCATACAGTCACTGGATTGTTACATAATAGAAAGCTCTTTGTAAATTACAATGACTGAATCGGTCTCTCTAATCCTGCATTGGCAGACTAACGCTCTTGGGTGTCGCGGGGATTCCTGCGTAGAGGAAACCAGCGTGACACTCAGCCTTGTGTAACCGAACCTCTGCAGCCTTGTGCCAGATTACATTGTCCATGGTCGTCTCTTGGTATGTTACAGTACCTCACATGTGGTTCGAATTTCCCAGACCAGCCGTCATGATTCCTCGACATCGACGATCTGTCGATTCCTGCCATCAACGATGCGCCTCTTAAAGCTCGACGGCAACGGCGGGTTCACCCAGGACGCACGCCGTTCCCAACCACTCCCTTCTGTTTCATCAAGCACCGTAGTGGACAAATTGCGCCCATTTCAGCGGCTGATTCCAGCCTACCTCTCTTTCCTCCCTCACACTCTCGTGTAAAAAGAATTCTTTTATCTAGATACCACCGTGTTTTAATGCATCGGCCGTCCCGGCGGAGACCGCATTAGATATTATTTACATCGAAGCCATACCCTTCGCCCCTATCCTCAGTATCCAGAGTTCAACCGCGCCATATCCCTAACGATTTCGACGGGACATTTAGAGCTTCCCCCGTAACAAGTTCCCGATCATCTCCCGCGCGGTGGCGCGCGTAGTAGTCCATAGCGTCCCGAAGTCCAGCGTGCTCGTAAGCCCGTCCGCGAACCCGAAGAACAGCATCGGCGGGATCCAGCCGCGCGCGTACTCGAGCGCGAAGCAGCCCTCGGGCATCTTATATTGCTTAACGGTGCCGCGGACGAGGTGGTGCATGGAGCCCGGGGGGTAGACCTCGGGCTCGTAGACACCGGGACCTGGGGCGTAGGCGAGCTGAGTGCCGGAGAGGATCATGAAGTAGTCATCGGACGTGTGGCGGCCGCTGTGGCCTTCGGTGCCGACGGTGGAGCCGAAGATAATGAGGTACTCGGTGATGCCTTGGGACGGGTTAGCGTACCGTCTGATAGTTCGCCGGTTGCTTGTAGAGATGGTCAATGGCGAAAGTTGAAAACTCACTGGCATGGATGATGTGCATGGCACCCATCGCGCCGCCCGCGTTATTGAACATCCACTCCTCGTGCACATTGACGTAGTTCAGGTGCTTCTCACGGAGCTCGTTAAGGATGTACGATACGATCTCCTTGGTGTTCTCCGGGCTGTGCGCGATCGCGCGCTGGGCGAGCTCGTGCAGCTCATTCTGATCGAAGATGTAGAACTTGTCCAGGTTCTTCTCGATGAGGTAGTACACAGGCAAGGCGATCGCCAGTAGGGCGCTGAGCTTGAAAAACCAGGAGGGGAGAGCCATTGTCGCGAAGGCAGATGGGACCGGGAAATGGAGCGAGAAGAAACGAAAGTTGAGGAAAGGAGAGGGGCACGAAGCTGGTGTCCTGCGACTTAAAGAACGGCGGACCAGCAGAGCGCGCTTGGTGATCGGCTGGACGGATGGGCGATGTAAAAAAATGTACGATCGACTCTCTCATATTTCTCAAGCCAGTGTAATTGACCTGGACGCTGGGCGGAGGTGCAACGGGTTGTCCATGCTGCTCTGGAACTGAGGTGGAGAGGATTGCGGCATGCCCGCGACCCGCGGATTCCACGCTCCCGATTCTCTATTTATCGCGCCCAGAGTACGAAGATCATCGGAAAAGGGATAGCGACACGGTTTAAGCAGAACGCGACAACCTTCCAGAGGGTTTCGATGGAGGTTCGACGCGATGATGGGCCCTGAATCTGGCAGGCCGCGCAATTCGGTACCTGAAGATGGGACCAGTTGCCACAAATGGCCCCAGACATCAAATGCAAGTGATGTAACTTAACTACAGGAAGTGTAACTAATCAAACATCATTCCGATCCGGTTCCATGAAATCATTCAGTGTTTCTCAGCAACAGTGGTAGGAAGAGGTGATGCTACTGGGCCAATAAACGTTCCGCCACGCAGGGAAATCGTGGTGTTGCTAGGCACGAACGTGAGTTCCGTCCACACAGGGAGTTCTGCCCTAGCCAAAGCGTCGGCAAGGCTAGCAGCTCCGGAGAATTAGAGAGTTTAACCTGAGAGCGCCAGTTTACGCGAAAATAACTTATGCCATGTTCCCGTGACTGTTTGGATTGCTAAAAGCGGAAGTTTGCTCGGCCAGAAGTACTGAGCGGCGTGATGGAAAGATCTAAAATCGTTGGCAACACAGCGCATACTTTGAAGGAGGCATTAATACATGATAGCAGGACAATATAGCAAGAGATATCCTCCTTACGGGAATTTGAAAAGAGAATACGCAGGTGGTGGCATTGTAGCATAGAAAATACTGTTTCGGCGTTGAAGACATATTCCGAGTGATGTGCTAAAATCGGCTCATCAGCAATCAGGCAGTTGTAATTTTGTGTTTCACAAAGTCTCGCATATTTCAAAGTGACTGAAAAATCTAGTGAATATGAAACTATAAGAATTACAGTATGCCTGGAGCCTTTGGGCTGTTTTGAAGTCGAAGTAGCTCGATTTCGTTCCAGCATGAGGGATGTTCCATCACGCCGGGGGGGAGGTTAGTTAACGAGCAATGAACCAAATAGTGTAGACATATTGTGGAATAGACTCTAGACATCGTCACCAAACTTGTGGCCGTATACAAGACGCCTATGGTAAGTATGTCTAATGAGGATAGCAGTTAAACCGATTGCAATTGAGCATATTCGTAAACTCCCCATGAGTCAAGCGTATTCACTAGCCATTTCCGTAACGAGACTAGAATTCTGGTTTGGGATGAGGCTCGATTCTTTTGTTCGGTTGCCCAGTCGGCCGTCGACTCCGCATGCGGTACTTGAAACAAAGAAAATAATGAAGAGAGACGCCAACCCCTCCACAAAAAGGATGCACACCAGAATTTAGGCCTTGAATCCATCATGAGCTTGGCCGGATTCATACTTCTCTATTGGAATAGCTGATAACGAGTGGGATAGTGGTAGGGGGTTTCTCTTGCTTATTCATCCAGGTCAATCACCGGATCTCAATTCAATGGAAGCAATTTGGTAGATCATTAAGTAACGATTACGTCGTGGATCCTAGCGTACAGTGAGGGAGTTCAAAGAGGTGGTTCAGACCGAATGGGACCGAATTACACTGAGCCAGATCCAAAAAATGGATCTCAGAGATGCGATGGCGATGCGATCAAGTTATTAAGCTAGAAGGAAATCATATCCAAAATGATTTGTGGTAGAAATTGAAATCTTGATAACTAACTAGTTGATCAGTTGATCTTTTATATTTGGTGCACGTGCCCCGGGAAGTGAATAAACTACCCCTGGTGAAAGGGGCCAAGCTCTCCGGTATCTAGGCAATCTTTGGACGCTTTTACTAGCGAACTCTTTAGTTAAGGCTTGTACGACTTTGCTCCACACGGATCGGAATCGGTCTAATAAGTTAGCCGGCCTACATGGACGCCTAGTGCCTAGTGGTTCACATCGGCGCTGTAGAACGCCGATACGGAGGGGATACGGACTGGTGACGATGAAATTTTAGTGGAAGGTGTCTGGTGGTGGGTGGGTCCAAGGGCACGGATGCCGAGTTTGAAGGCGGATGGTTATTTGTAAATTGTAATGCTACCTTAATATTTCCCTACCCCTAAATAGTAAAGACATACATAGTATCAACTCATGGTTCTATACTCACAGTAGTTGTGATCTAAAGCTTGATCCCTCGTTAGCAGATCCTGGAGGAGAAGGAAAAGGCGCATTCTCCAACCATGGCGGTAAGTCCACGCCTCAGGATGTCTAACTCAAGAGGTATTGTCGTCTCACAGCCCTCACAGACCCCCATCGAAGAGACCGAATCCCAAATCGGTACCTTCTCCATCATCCAGTGGATCCATACCCTCCTCCACCGCTCCAACCCCTCTCCCCCCTCCTTCACCCCCCTCTCCACCACCACCCCCGACCGCCTCTCCCACTCGCAGGCCGAACAGCCCATCGACCTGGACTCATACGACCCCTCGGCCCAGAAAGACACCGTCCTCTATCTCGCCTACGGCTCCAACCTCTGTGACGCCAAGTTCCAGGGCGACCGCGCCATCCGCCCCCTCTCCGCCGTCAACGTCCACGTCCCATCTCTTAAACTCGCCTTCGACCTCCCCGGCCTCCCCTACATGGAGCCCTGTTTCGCCAACTCGAACCTGCGCGACCCGGAGTCCGATGAGAAACACCCCTCAGAGGACAAAACGGACTCGGACAATAGTGATGAGAACGACGGTGCGGGCAGCGCGCTGCTTCCAAAAGACCCGCCACCCAACCACCGCAACACCCCCTGGACCAAAGGCCTCGTCGGCGTCGTCTACGAAGTCACCCCCTCCGACTACGCGCACATCATCGCGACCGAAGGCGGCGGCGGCAGCTACCATGACATCGTCGTCCCCTGCTTCCCCATCGACGCAAACCTCCCCTCGCTCCCCACCCCAACCGCCCCCTCCTTCAATGCGCACACGCTGTACTCCCCGCCGCTGGATCCGGGCGCGGTCGGTATCCCGCGCCCGGATCCGGGATACGCGCAGGCGTCGGCGCGGTATCTGAAGATGCTGGCGGACGGGGGGAGGGAGCGGGGGTTGCCCGGGGATTATCGGAGGTGGTTGGAGGGGTTGGAGGCGTATACGGTGACGACGAGACGGCAGCGGGTGGGATCGGTGGTGGTGGGGGTGGTGTGGTTACCGATGATTGTGTTGCTGTTTGTGTTGACTCGGGTGTGCCAGGGGGCGGATGGGAGGAGTCCCGGGTGGTTGGTGGGGGCTCAGAAAGCGGTGTTTCAGGCGGTGTGGGTGAGTTACGATACTATATTTAAGTCGGTGTTTGGGGATGGGGAGAGGACGGTACATGATGGTGAAAAGGATTGGTGATATTGCTGGAAGTCTAGTAGATCCCTCATAGCATTTTGAGCCTTGAGCAAAACGACAGAATCAAACCCCCAAATAGTAAAAGCTGGTCCACCTCGGTGGTGACCCCGAAACCCTACGGGTTTGCGAATTATTTTTCTGTGGCATCTGGAATTCCAGCGCCGCTGATCTTTTGCTATGTGGGTGCTAGCCTCTGTAGTCGAACCTGCGTATGCATCTAACAAGTGAAACCCGGCCTGCGTGTCGGATCTGAGAACATGCTTAACCGGTGCACCACACTCTCAGGCCACCCACATACGTTTGAACTTGGGGAAGTTGGGTAGATATAGTAGATGCCGGGG